ACACACACACACACACACACACACACACACACACACACACAGACACACACACACACGTTCATGTTCATTAGTTTTATTCAGAACTTCATTGTCGTCATTAAAAAGGTTTTTAATAAATAAACCTGTGATTAAATTGTACTGAGTGTTTCTTCATATTTACCATCTGCCTCATGATGAATCTAACAGTCACTTTGGTGAATTAGTGTTTTCATTGTTATTTAAATTGGTAAGTTCATAAGACAAATTAGAAAAGCACAAACTCTAGTATCTGTCTCTAGATCCTGTGTTGTCACTGTTGAAGGACGGACACATTTAAACATTTCTATCATGTTTGTTGTTGATTAAAGCAACATAGAAAGTCTTTGATTAATTACAGATTCAGGAGAAACTTGGTGTGTTGTGATTTCTATACTGTGCTGCTGCTGTTCAAGTTCATACCAGAGGGATCAGTTCTCTACACACTGACTGGGACTTTGTGCTGTTGTTATCTGTGTGTGGCGAGTCCGTCTGCAGAGACACACAGCATCAAACCACTTCCTGGACTGAGTCAAAGCCTGATGCCCCTCCCTCTTCTTCCTGCTCTCAAACACAGCCAGCTCCACTCTGTTCATGTGTTTCCTTGTTCCCTCCCTTCAGATCTACAGTTTGAAGATGGGTGGAGCCAACATGTGGTGAAGTGCGAGAGCTGACAGGCCCCGTTCACTGCAGAGACACATGTTGTTTAGATCAGAGCTCAAACTAGTTTCAGTTCTGAGGAAGTGAAACTCAGACAGTCGTTGTCACCGAGAGCTGAAATGGCACAGAAAGGAGATCAGCTGGACCGGGAGACCTTCTCTTGTTCCATCTGTCTGGATCTACTGAAGGATCCGGTGGCTGTTCCCTGTGGACACAGCTACTGCATGAACTGTATTAAAAGCTTCTGGGATGAAGAGGATGAGAAGAGAATCCACAGCTGCCCTCAGTGTAGGCAGACCTTCACACCGAGGCCTGTCCTGGGGAAAAACACCATGTTAGCAGCTTTAGTGGAGCAGCTGAAGAAGACTGGACTCCAAGCTGCTGCTGCTGATCACTGCTATGCTGGACCTGAAGACGTGGCCTGTGATGTCTGCACTGGGAGGAAACTGAAAGCTGTTAAATCCTGTCTGGTTTGTCTGGTCTCTTACTGTGAGAATCACCTGCAGCCTCATCATGATGTAGCTCAGTTAAAGAAACACAAGCTGGTGGAGCCCTCCGAGAAGCTCCAGCAGAACATCTGCTCTCGTCACGATGAGGTGATGAAGATGTTCTGCCGCACCGATCAGCAGTGTATCTGTTATCTCTGCTCTGTGGATGAACATAAAGGCCACGACACAGTCTCAGCTGCAGCAGAAAGGACTGAGAGGCAGAGAGAGCTCCAGCTGAGGCGACAAGAGATCCAGCAGAGAATCCAGGACAGACAGAAAGATGTGAAGCTGCTTCAACAGGAGGTGGAGGCTCTCAACGGCTCTGCTGATGAAGCAGTGGAGGACAGCGAGAAGATCTTCACTGAGCTGATCCGTCTCATGGAGAAAAGACGCTCTGATGTGAAGCAGCAGATCAGATCCCAGCAGGAAACTGAAGCCGGTCGAGTCAAAGAGCTTCAGGAGAAGCTGCAGCAGGAGATCGCTGAGCTGAAGAGGAAAGACGCTGAGCTGAAGCAGCTCTCACACACAGAGGATCACAACCACTTTCTACACAACTACCCCTCACTGTCACCACTCAGTGACTCTACAGACTCATCCGCCATCAATGTCCGTCCTCTGAGACACTTTGAGGACGTGACAGCAGCTGTGTCACAGCTCAGAGAGAAACTACAGGACGTCCTGACAGAGACATGGACAAACATCTCACTGACACTGACTGAAGTGGATGTTTTACTGTCACAACCAGAGCCCAAGACCAGAGCTGACTTCTTAAGATATTCACAGGAAATCACACTGGATCCAAACACAGCAAATACACGTCTGTTATTATCTGAGGGAAACAGAAAAGCAACAGTAATGAGTCAACAACAGTCTTATCCTGATCATCCAGACAGATTCACTTCATATCCTCAGGTCCTGAGTAGAGAGAGTCTGACTGGACGTTGTTACTGGGAGGTGGAGTGGAGAGGAGGAGGAGTTTTTGTATCAGTCTCATACAAGAATATCAGCAGAGCAGGGGGGGGAACTTTATTTGGATATAATGACAAATCTTGGTCGTTAGATTGTGATCAAAACAGTTTTTCATTTAGATTCAACAGCATCAACACTCCAGTCTCAGGTCCTCTGTCCTCCAGAGTAGGAGTGTACCTGGATCACACAGCAGGTGTTCTGTCCTTCTACAGCGTCTCTGAAACCATGACTCTCCTCCACAGAGTCCAGACCACATTCCCTCAGCCTCTCTATGCTGGACTCTGTCTTTCCTGGGGTGTTGGAGGCACAGCTGAGTTTTATAAGCTCACATAGATAAAAGTCCAGATTTGTATTTGGTTCCTAAAGTTATTGTGTCTCCATCATTGTTGCTAAGAGCTGGTTGTTGTGTTGTTTGTTGAATCCTGATGTATTATTCCAGGTGAGATCAGGTCCATGTAAGTCATTCAAATGAGTCTCATCTTCACCTGCTGCAACATGAAAGTTGTTTCACATTAAAACATCAATAATCACAATCCAGTCGTATGATTTACATTATTCTGAAGGGAGACTTTTACTTTGATACTCCACGTGTTTCTGTTTTCAGACACACACACACACACACACACACACACACAGACACAGACACACACTCACACACACAGACTCAGACAGACAGACGTGTGTGTGTGTGTCTGTGTGTCTGTGTGTCTGTGTGTGTTGTTGTTGTTGTTGTGTTATAAACCATTTTCCTGCTTTCCTCCCAGTGCATGCTGGGATACATTCCAGTACTTCAAACTTGTTTGTTTGAAGTTTGAATGTTTGATGTGATGAAAAACTGTTTGACACGTTTCATCCAGAATCACAAAGTTTGAATGTAAAAGTCACATAAATGTAAAACTAATAAGATTCACCCTGAAATTACAGAGAATCTTTAAATTGTTATTATGGACATTAACCTTCATAATAACAAGCTACATTTTTAATTACAGATAATTACTGTCATTTTACACAGATTTGTTTGTAATTTAAGAAAGCAGAAAAATACTGTTTAAATAAAACAGTAATTTGTCTTTATAGAAATGGGAAATAAATGTAATTTATTATTATTGGCATGATGCTTAAAGGAGAGGTTGGGCTGTTAATTCACATTATTTCTGTCATTTTACAGACTTTTGTTCACAATTTTTAAAAACCCCAGAAAATTACTTTTAGAAAACTTAGTTATTTTTTACAGTGCAGACACATACTCAGTTAAGACCTGGTCTTGTTCATTTAGCTCCTGAACTTATGGCATCAGAGCTCACCTGAGAGCCTGTGGCATCAGAGCTCACCTGAGAGCCTGTGACATCAGAGCTCACCTGAGAGCCTGCAGCTCACCTGTCTGTGTGTGTGTGTGTTGCTCAGGCTGCTGCTCACAGAATTTCCAGAATAGATAGATAGATAGATAGATAGATAGATAGATAGATAGATAGATAGATAGATAGATAGATAGATAGATAGATAGATAGATACTTGTGCCAGATGTTTGCCCAAACTAAAACTAGACTGAAAGGATAAAACATCTGTAAAGACTTTTAAGGATATTGATTAAATGTCCCAGAAATCCCTACTTTCCTACAGACCCTGAACGCAGCATCGTTGCCCAGGGATGTTTACATGCGGTTACCAGGCAACGGCTGTGGAGTGATTTGGCTTGGACATACCTGACAGTCCAGCCCGGTTTTGTCCTACTTTACCGGGTTTAACCTGATCCACATCCCGGATGGCCGGTGCTCTGATGGACCCGACCCGGGCCCCGCTGGCCTTCGGGCGGCGGGCCGTGCCGCAGCTGTTCGAGCAGCTGCAGCAGCCGGAGACCGGCACGAGGCTGCGGGCTCTGGCTTCACTCTGCGACCTGATCCACGACCCGGACCGGCTCTACCAGACTGTTAAAGGAGGTAAGTCCGGGCTCACAGCCAGACCACACGATGAGGTCTCCAACATCCTGTGCTCAGGTAACCATGGTGATAACAGGCGCCAATAAGTCCTGCTTTAAAAATGTTACTCAAGTAAGTAACATTAAACTAGAGTATGAGTATTAGTATTAGTATCAGTATCAGTATCAGTATCAGCATTAGTATCAGTATCAGTATTAGTATTAGTATCAGTATTATGGCCACGTTGAAGAAAAAAAGAAATCTGATATTTATGAAAAAAGTCATAATATTACGAGAATAAAGTCGTAATTTTACAAGAAAAAAAGTCATAATATGAGATTAAAGTAATTTTATGAGAAAAAAAGTCACAACATTAGGCTGCAATAATAAAGTCATGATATTATGAGAATTAAAAATGTAAAACATCCAGAGAGAAAAACATAATTTTTACACAATATTTCAAGCAACCAATAAAATGGGTGAAAGGACACCGAGGTCAAAGGTCAGCGCCAGCTGCTGCTTGTCTAACAATAGAACAGACTCAGTTTCTTGATGCCCTTTCAATATGAGGATCAGTATTTAAGCATGTTATCTTTTATTATGTTGTCAGCAAATAACAGTGCCAATGGCAGCAAACAAGCCGTCTCCGTGGAAACAGTAGAATTTCACTGCTGTAAAACCCCTTTCATTGCTGTAAATACCTTAACTTTTCTCCTTTAACAAAGGAAACCCTTTAAGTTATTCTGTGCAACACCCTGAATTAACTCCCTCAGCTAACTGCTGATGCATGAACTACGACCTGAAGCCGAGAACACCTGTGAACTTTGCAGCGCTGACACATCTTTCTTCTTCTTCTCCAGGTTTTCTGGAGCGGCTGGTGGTTCTGTTGAAGGATGAAGATCCATCAGTCAGAGCGAGGACCTGCGAGCTGCTTCACCTGCTGACGGCCCACAGCGCCGGCAGGTACAGTACATACACTGCTTTCATCTCACTGTCTAAACGCTGCTGTTTGTTTAACTGTGTCCGTGGTAACCAGCAGATACAAAGGGGAGTAAAAATAAAATAATGGTAGAGAAAAATAATATTGTAGATTTAGCAGTGCAATAATCCATTTAGTAAATTCTCTAAACAATATTATAATGTTCACAAGTAATTGAAGTCGTTGTAGTCCGTGTAAAACAATACTGTACATAATATTAGAGTTTATTTAGAGAATGTAAATTGAAATATAAAGTTCATTCAACAACATTTAATTGATTGTAAGTCAGTGAAACATTTAATCACTTTTTAAAGGATCAGTCTGGTCTGTGATTATATTTTTCTTCCTGTCATCAAACGGAGGTTCCCCGGCTTCCTCCCACAGTCCCGACACACGCAGGTTAATTGGTGACCCTATAGGGATAAGCAGTATGGATAATGGATGGATGTTTCCTGATTAGACCCTCGCTGTAGTGTGTGATGTCACCAGCAGGTGGCGGTGTGACACTGCGGTGACGTCCAGGTGAAGCTTTGTGGGAAGTTTAAGTGTCTGTGAAGATTCTCAGAGCTCCAGTCAAAATAATCTCTGTAACCACGTCTCCTCCACCTCGATGGAAAACGTCATGAGGTCAAAGATGTGAAGGAGAATTCATTAGCACCGAGGAAAAGCATCCGACTGCTCTCACACTGAGCTTTTAACTTTATTAAGGAAAAATCCTCCTTTAGCCACAGAAACAGAGCAAACAGGATTGAAATGTTTTAATGAGAAAACATGGAAGGAAAACACAAATAGAGAAAGTTAAATAATAATTAAATAGAAATAAGGAACTGAGTGAGAGATCAGAAGAAATGATGTTCAGATAGAAGTTTATAGTTTCATTTGTTATCTGGAGAAAATTCACGTTCAGGTGTTTACACAGCAGGAGGGGATATGGTGAACGACATGTATAGACTATAGTATTGTGTTCTGATATTGTTCACCATAAACTCCGGACTGAACAGATCTGAAAGAGAATAAATCTACATTTGATGAATCGGGCTTCAGTCGATCAGTCGAGGATTTCCATCAAACAGAAAGTTAAAGTTTCTACATTTCCATGTGTCTGCCGAGGTCACTGTGTCTCTGTCGCCTCCCCCCACAGACAGGCCCTGCTGTCCTCCTCCCTCCTCCCTCCCCTGTCTCAGCTGCTGGGCGACTCCTCGTCCTCCTGCAGGAGAAACGTCCACCGGGTGCTGAACCGCCTCGCCCTGCTGCCAGCTGGTACCGTCCTCACGTCTGACTCCATCCAACATTTGATTTCAGAGCCGTTAATATTTTTCTGTCTTGATCAATCAGATGACGAAACAGTTTGTTAAACTGTTCTCATTCTACTAAAATGGGGAAAGATAAACTGAACAATTACACTTGAAACATTATTCATTATTTTCTGTTATATCATAAAATATATTAAATTCCAGTGAAATGATCTTAAAATAAAGAACATGTTTCCTGAGCCGTGTCACTCACATACTTCAGTCTCTGTTGCAGTAATAGTTTCCTCCACTCAGTCTAGTTCCCGTTTACATCCCATTAGTGTGAAATTTTGTTATAATTTCTGTGTGAAGTCTGGACTAATGGCTAAAAAGTGATTTCTGAGGTCACACTGACCTTTGACCTTCGACCATCAAAATCTTATCAGTTGATCCTTGAGTCCAGGTGAATGTTTGCATCAAATTTGAAGAAATTCCCTTAAGGCGTTACAGAGGTATCATGTTCTCAAGGCCAAAATCAAGTTTTATGAGGTCACCTTGACCTTTGACCTTTGACCCCCAAAATCTAACTAGTTCGAGTACAAGTGAACATTTGTGCCAAATTTGAAGGAATTTCCTTGAGAAGTTCTTGAGATGTTGCGTTCACAAGGCCAGAATCATGTTTTGTGATGTCACTGTCACCGTGACCCTTGACCTTTGAACTTTAGCCACCAAAATCTAATCAGTTCCTCCTTGAGTCCTGGTGAATGTTTGTGCTAAATTTGAAGAAGTTCTGTGAAGACGTTACTCAGATATTTCAGGACAACCTGAAAACAAAATGGCCGCCACTGTGAATGTCGCTGGTGCAGAGTCCCAGTTTAACCTGGGATAATATCACTGTGTGTGTGTGTGTGTGTGTGTGTGTGTGTGTGTGTGTGTGTGTGTGTGTGTGTGTGTGTGTTTGTGTGCAGGTGCAGAGGCTCTCCTGACTCTGGTTCCTAAACTGATGCTGAAGCTCAGAGATGATGAAGATGAGGAGGAGGAGGAGGAGGAGGAGGTGCAGGTGCTGCTCCTCTCCACCCTCAGCTGTTGCTCCAGGCTGGACGCTCTGCCGGCTCTGGCCTCCGACGGTGTCTCGCTGCTGGGCCACAAACTCTCACACCGCTCCCCGAACATCCGCAGAGAGGCAGCGGCAGCCATGATGGCCCTCAGGTATGAGTGTCACTTCACCTGACACTTCATCTCCTCTCAGTGGTTCAACCTGCACTTACACGTAAACTCACACTTGCCCAAACTGAAACGGTGTTTCCACTTCCTGTCTACAACCTCCATCATGTTCACACTTCAACAAACCCTTGATATTAAAGTAACACTTCAGCTTCTTTCCACATGTTCACTTCAACTTCACTCAGCTCATACACGTGAACTCAGACTTAAACTGAAACTCGGGTCATTTCAGCTCCTTTCAGCAGTTTACTTCAACCCACAGACTATAAATAAAGATGGACGTCGCCTCTGTGACGTCACCCACAGGTTTCTAAAGCTCAGAGTGAGCTGTTCTACCATTGCCATCTTGGAAGAGTCGGACTCCGCCCCCTAACTCCCAGCTAATCCAAAAGTGGTGGTCAAAGAGGCGGGACATGTGTGGCAAGCATAAGCTACCATTAGCATCATTAGAACAACGGGGAGTCTTGCTTGAAGACTAACCCAAAGCTAATTCATAATGAGCAAACCTAACAAGCCACGTATGGTGATCGCAGACACCAATACCTGCTAATTAGTGGTAAAATACAAATAAATAATACTAGAGTTTAACTCACCTAAAACTACAGGAGCACAGACTTCCTCATGTTCTGTTACAAACAAGCCAAATCATCTGTCTGATGTTTAAAATCCTCCAAAAGCACCAATGTTCACTGACTGAATTAGCTGAAGTGACGAGTAGCAGACAGCTAGCAGCTAGCTAACGAGCAACCACACCCTTAATTCTCCATAACGTTAATCCTTAATAAGATGTAAACAGGTGAGTTATATAAACAGGTGTCATGAAGGAGGAAATTAGCTCTAGAGACCAAAACAGTTTCTGTACCAGGCTGTAAACATGTTTATTTCTGCTGTAAAGTTGGACATTTTAACATGGGAGTCTATGGGGACTGACTCACTGTTGGAGCCAGACTCTAGTGGTCGTTAGAGGAACTGCAGCTTTTAGGCACTTCAGTGTTGACTTCATTTTTAGTTTGTTTGATTGTTGCTCTGGTTGATGTCTGCTGGTTTCAGCATTCCTGAGGACGGGAAGCGGCAGGTGTGCAAGGAGGCGGTGCTTCCTGTCCTGGTCGGTCTGCTGCAGGACGAGGACATCGAGGTTCAGGCCAACGCTGCAGGAGTCATCATGTACACTGTGATCATCACCACAGGTACAAACACACACCAGCTGGAAGTGTTTTCCCTCTCTGTAAATTCGCATTTTAAGTTGTTTTAATGATCTCCTTCATGCCTGTCACCATGGCAACATCCCTCTGGATCATGTGACCAGACTACAGGTTTATTTTCTGACCATCCGTTCGATTTATTTCCACTTTCCACAATCTTTAACTTCAACTGACCATGTTCACACGGCGGCCATTTTCCTCTGACGCCACGCTGAGGGCGGGAAGCTTTGGACATTTTAATGTCTCTGAATTAATTTGTTTACCGTCATTTTCCTTTGACCACACTGATGAATGGGCAGATGAATCTGTCAGATGTTGAAGGTAAAGACCCGCCCACACTGGAAACACTGTAAGCTAATGCTAGGCTAGCAAATGTGAAATTTGAACTGTGGGTCATCTGACAACGTCTATGAGGAAGTGAACCTTCTGTTGTCTGCACCTTAAACACACCACCTGACCTACGACTGATCCTCCTCTTCCTGCAGGTAAGCAGCAGTGTCTGGATTTGGACGTTGTCCCTGTCCTCCTCCTACTGGTGTCCAAGGAGACAGAGGAGGAAGAGGAGGAGGACCTGGAGAGGAGGAGGAGGAGGAGGAAGGCCCTCATCTTGTACTCCCTGCGCACTCTGACTTCGCTGGCCGAGGCTCCAGACGGCCGCCGCCTCCTGCTGGAGCAGCTGCCGCTGCTGCTGAGGAGGAGCGAGGCCACAGAGGAGGACCAGGACATCCGGCGAGCTGCTCAGACCGCCGTCAGGGTTGTCACCTGGACCCCCTGAGACCCTGACGACCCCTGACCTCCAGAGCAGTCAGCTGATAAGATAATAAAATGATTAACTATATATGTCAATCTATTTCCACATCTGAAATATTTGTTCAACATATTATAAGGTGACCAGATATCTGAAATTAAAACGGGGACATTTCCAGTTCATCAGTCAAATTATCATTAAAATATCCAGTTTTTAAAATGACGACCCCCTACCTTTGAAGCAGGCACAAAGTTTGTTTGAAGTATGTTTGTTTTTGTTAGTTTATTGCCTGGTAATGAACTCCTAACCAATGACTGAACCAGCTAACCTTTTTTCTTCCTAGAGACAACAAAAACAAAGAAAAATCTGATTGGATAACTCTATTTTGATGGTTTTAGCTTCACTTCTGAAGCTACTATAGCTAGCAGCCAGCTGCCTCTGTTGGCCAAAACAAGCGCAACGCTAGACGTCTGTATTTAATTACAAACTTTAAAACAGGGACATTTCTGGGGACAGCTCCAACGGGGACATCTGGTCACCCTAACATACTACGTTTAGTTCGAATCTGGACCGTGTCACTGTGGACCTCTGGAGGCCTCTCCGTGACCCCGGTAGGGCCACGCACCACAGTTTGAGTAAAATCGCCGTCAGACTAGAGTGGAGTGCTGCTGAATAGAGTTTCCTCTCTGACCTGCTGCTCTGAAAGACGCTGCACTTCAGTCAGATTAAGGCCAATCAGCTGTGCAGCAGCAGACGTCCACAGACATGAATGGACCTGCTTTATGTTGAACTCAGCTCCTATTGATGCATCGAGCTCCGGGCAGTGCGAGGAGGAGGCCACAACAGGAAGCTGAGGTGAGGAATAGTTTTTGAAAATGTTCAGTATTATCGCTGATACAACAGTCAATACTATAATGAGACTTTTATCAAAACATCACATCAAAATTTTATCCTGTTGTTGAGTTAAATGTCCAAACACAAGAGCAACTAAAATACAGACGCTTCAGATTTCATGTCAATCAGGGGCCAGTTGCACAAAACATCCTAAATTAAGATTTTCCATAAAGTCTGAGTTACAGTTACAGTTTCCTTAAAATAATATAAAAAACAAATTCTAATAATTTTATACTGTGATTTTAACACGATTTAAATTCAAGTCAAATTATTAAGTCATATTTATTCACGGGCATGTTGCACTGTCATGTTTACCCCCCCCCCCCCCCCCCCCCCCGCACTACTGCAAATGGACTGGCCCAGAGAGAGAGAGAGAGAGAGAGAGACATAGACAGGTAACGGTTTATGGTTGAAACAGCAGAGAGAGAGAGAGAGGCACAGGGTGCTGTTATCACACACATACACACACACTCACACGCACACACACTCACACACACACTCACACACACACTGGGACTATATTTGGGACTGAGCGGAGAGAGAAACAGTTGATGACGGAGCTGCTGGACGTTTCTGTCAAACACCGGAAACAACACACAGGTAAGACCCACCTGCGGTTCTCCCGCGGGTTCACAGCTTCTATCTCGTTTTTCTGTGTTTTTCTGTGTTTTTCTGGGTCCAAACATCAGCTGAGATAATCCTGAGACAGAGCAGCTGGAAGTCCTGATGTGGAGTTATACACACACACACACACACACACACACACACCAGCCTGGATGTGAGTCCATGTGTGATGAATATGATCAAATACACTTCATATTAAACACACCGCCGCAGGAATGTTCTAGAAACTCGGAGTCCGGATGAACTGGAGTGAAGTTTTGCTTCATGTTCTCACTGCGGAGATATTGTAGGAATAATATGAAGATGCTGGAGGGGTAAAATGCGGAGGGTTTTTAGCGGGACTTCGGCGCGACTCTCTCCCCGGCTGCGGTCGACCTTGTCCGGGGGAGAAAGAGCCGGCGCCGGGCCGGGCTGCGGTGCGCCGCAGCGGGGCAGAGGAGCTCCGACTTCCCCCGGTTTTAAAAAGAATATGAAAGCACCGCACATCATCATGTGTCAGATATGAGTCAGGCGCTGGGTGACGGTCCCAAATTATGTAAGAGGCTGCTGGAAAAGTGAGCACGCCGCGGAGGAGAGGAGGGATGGAGGATGGAGGATGGATTAAGGAGGGGAGGATGGTTTTATGTAACAACCCCCCCATCCAGCATTAACATCTGCTGGCCATCCTCCACTCTGAAATCCTCCCCATGACAGACCTATAATAATATCTCTAAATATCCTATCTATCTATCTATCTATCTATCTATCTATCTATCTATCTATCTATCTATCTATCATCTATCTATCTATCTGAACCTGGATGTACATATAAGAAACAAATTAAAACAGATAGTCCAGAGAGACTTTACGATGCAATTTAAATAACAAACACTAAAATTACAAAATTGTACTAAAAATAATTCACAAGCAAGATTATAAAACACAGTCTGATCAGTTTAAACAACTGCATCCTGTTTTGCTAAGGTTTAAAATCTTGTTTCTAAACAGTTGATAGCTTATAAAATGATCCATTTTTAAAGTGCTCTGAAGCTTATTGTGGTGTAAGAGCTAGAAGTTAGACTGATGTGATATGAAGAAGAAGTACACTTATTTCTTATAATTTAGCCAGTGAGACGGGTCCTTTGTACGTCCAGGCTTTATTCCTTAATTTAAAAATATGCAATAATTCAGATGTAAACCACAGCTGGATTAATCTTTTACTCTTTTTAAATTCTCTTTTTAAATATCTTGAACAGATCTTGTTTATTGACCACTGAAAGACAGGTATTTATAAAATGGTCCATTTAACGTTTATGTAATTAACTATGATGTAAATCATTTTAAAAAACATTAAAGCGTTCATTAACATGTTTTAAATTCCTATTAATGACAAATATTAACTGACCCACCTTTGTATTTGCTGGTCATGATGACAGTACAAGGAGCTGAGTAAAGACATGCTGTGCCATGTTTTGTCTTTTACATTTAAAAAAAGATTTTCTACTAAAATTAAAGTGTCAGAAAACTCCTGTTTATCTCGGGTGCCTGTGAATGCATCACATGTTGTTTTATAGCAATGATGAGTTCATGAGTCGATCCCTGTTGTGACTGTTGATAGTTTTTAGTCGTTGTAGCAGCGTCACTGTTGGATGGACTGTGATGAAATGTGGTTCATGTTCCCCTCAGGATGAACTTGAGTCTAGCGCCATCATCAGGTCACATTTTAATGTGTCCACTACTTTGGTTTATGACCAAATACCTGCTCAGTAATCAGATGGACTTTGTGTTTACTGCTAATTAGCATTAAAGCAGCTAAACATCAGCGTGTTAGCATCGCCACTGCAGCAGGATTTAACAGGCCAAAAATGAGGCATCAACACTGAGGAACCAGAAGCTGCAGTTCCTCTAACGACCACTAGAGTCTGGCTCCAACAGTGAGTCAGTCCCCATAGACTCCCATGTTAAAATGTCCAACTTTACAGCAGAAATAAACATGTTTACAGCCTGGTACAAAAACTGTTGTGGTTTCTAGAGCTAATTTCCTCCTTCATGACACCTGTTTATATAACTCACCTGTTTATGTTTTATTAAGGACTAAAGTTATGGAGGATTGAGGGCATGGTCGCTCTGTAGCTAGCTGCTAGCTGTCTGCTAAGCATCACTTCAGCTAATTCAGTCAGTGAACATTGGTGCTTTTGGAGGATATTAAATATCAGACAGGTAATTTGACATGTTGTTAACTGGCTAACAGAACGTGAGGAAGTCTGTGCTGCTGTATTTTGAATTGAGTGAAACTAGTATTATTTTATTTATTTATTAGCACTAATTAGCAAGTAACGGTTTCTTTATTCACTATACATGGCTTGTTAGCTTAGTTCATTAGGGAGCTAATTAGCCAGCAATATATTAGCTATCGGTTAGCCTTCAAGCAAGACGCCCAGCTGTACTAACGATGCTTGCCACACAAGCCCCTCCTCTTTGACCATTTTTGGATTATCTGGGAGTTAGGGGGTGGAGTCGGACACTGCCAAGATGGCGACGGTGGAGCAGCTCACTCTGAGCTTCAGAAACCTGTGGGTAAAGTCACAGAGGCGACGTCCATCTTTATTCACGGTCTGGGAAACTGTCAGTTTGAGAGTGTTTCTCATCAGTGTGGAGAACAGAGGCGGCTGGGATCTGCCCACAAGATGTGGGAGAGAGGCATCGTCGTGGAAACATGAACAACAGCATCTCTTGTTGATCGAGCTGATGATTGGATTTTGTAGCAGAAATGCTGAAAAACCTGCTCCTGAGTCTTTGACTGAGGTCAGAGGTCAGAGGTCACAGCTGTCTGAATATGACAGCACATACAGATGCAGACAGACAGATCAGCTCTCTGTCCTATTGAACCTACTGTAGCTGTGAATAATGGGTTTGAGTCCTGTGGGAGCTAGAAAGAGCCTGCTGTGTGTGTGTGTGTGTGTGTGTGTGTGTGTGGGTGTGTGGGTGTGTGTGTGTGTGTGTGAACAGCCTGACAGACAGACTGTGCTGTAGTTAAATCTCGTCACACTGAGGATTTATTTTTTTATTTCAGCTCTAACACACAAGCTGTGAGGTTTTGTTCCATGTTGAATATTACACACACACACATTCCTTCAGCTGTTGACCTTTTATCAGCCACTGTTGCCTCTCAAGTTGCTGACGTGTTGAACTTTTACAGAAAAGTTTCTCAGATATGAACATTGAATATTTGTGCTGATAGATTTAATTTAATTATAAGATGAACTCACATTAATCAGCTGCAGCCTGATGATGTTAAAGTTCCCTCCACTCAGGACGTGTTGTGTTTACTGTCCCGTCACTGAAACGTTGTTCACCTTTGCGGTGTCTCACACTCACACTTGCTGATCTGAGAGCAGAAGTGTATTCACGTTAACGAGTGCAGCAACACACAGTGCACTAAAAGTACCTGGATGGTTCACTCAAAACCAGTGTGAAACGATGGACACTTCTCACCCTCAACGGTCGCCATCTTGGCTCTGTAGCAGAAGGGGAGGGGCCACCAACATATCTGCAACCTTGTGAAATGGCGAGCGAGGAGGGGGAACATGTTGTACCAATGATGGTGGCCTAATTTCCATGTCGCTTAACACAAAAAAGTTAAACGTTCATTTTCAAGTCAAGTGAGCAAAGTGGGCGACGACCTTGTCACATGTTGCAATCATCGTTTCCTGTCAGTGCACACAGTGTTTGATTTAGGACGACACTACACCAGTGAGTATGTGTGAATTATCTGATTTTAACACACACATATGTCACAATCTGCCCCTTAAGTGTCTCCTTGGACTCACTTCCTGTTTTACTTTGAAATTACTTCCTGTTTTGTCCCACTCCAGTGATTGTCTGTCCCACCCTGATGTGTTTTTAACCATTTGTGTAAAATTTTGTCATAATTGCTGTTTGAAGTCTTGAGTAATGGCTAAAAAGTATTTTGTGAGGTCACACTGACCTTTGACCTTTGAGCACCAAAATCTAATCAGTTCGTCCTGGAGTCCCAGTGGACATTTGGGCCAAATTTGAAGAAAATCCCTCAAGGTGTTACGGAGATGTTGCGTTCGCAAGGCCAAAACCACATTTTGTGAGATCACCGTGATCTTGCCCTTTGACCTTTAGCCACAGAAATCTAACCAGTTCATCCTTGTGCCTTAGTGAATGTTTGTGCCAAATTTGAAGAAGTTCTGTCAAGGTGTTTCTGAGATATCGTGTCCACGAGAATGAGACGGACCAACGGACAACCTGAAAACAAAATGGCTGCCGCTCTGACTGTCGCCAGCGTGTTGTGACAGTTTAACCCGGGATAATATCACTGTGTATATCACCCAGCTACCTGGGAACAGGTGAAACACATCAGGGCCGGCCAGACAATCACTGGAGCGGGAAAAAACAGGAAGTAAAACGGGAAATCAGTCCAAAGAGACACTTAGGAGGCAGATCTTGACACAGCTGATGCACCTAAACGATAATCAGGGTCCAGTATGAAACTTCCTGTAGCTCGAGTTGAATCATTAGCTGTACAACATGTGACATGAGAGGGCGTGCATGTATAGACTTCTGAAAGTTTTCCATTACATTTCCCCTCTTTCATAAAATGCTCATAGAAAGACAAAAAATTTTTTAGCCGGACTGTGCCACAAGGAATTCTGGGTAAATTAGAAGAGTGTAACAATAAAACTGGCTGCCGTCTCTAAAAACTCTTCCCCTTCTCTTTGCTCTCTCCATTACAGTGTTAGCAAACCACAAATTATGAGCCATGTTTTCCTACTGCTCAGCGCAGGTGATTGTTACCGTGGTAACGTTAGGCCTGAGTTAGCCTGTGGGATGTGTTGTGGTTCTGTGATCCAGAGCATCCAGCTTGTGCTTCATTCTCACTGATGGCGTCCTGTACTCGTACGGTCCCTGAATGCCTCACCGTGCTGCGTGGGCGCTCTCCTCTATTTCTGGACACATGAGTCATCTTC